TGTCTCAGCACACCCTATAGGCAGGGCTAGCACGGCTGCTGCGCTCTGCCTAAGCAGATACTTTAGCCCACTGAGCTATCAGGCCGGTCCAATTCTGTTTGTTGTTACTAGGTCAGATCTTTAGAAATTAAGCACTCCAGTTTTATGTTGCCTTTTGGGTCTCTCTGAGAGGAGATAAAAGCCTAACGGAGATGAGCAGGTTTGGGTCACAAATACTGTTTCCCAGCATTTCTTGTACATTTCCTTGTGTCCAGTGGTAACCTGAGGTTGATTGTCCCGTTTGGTGACTAGCTTATGCTCTTATAGGAGACTTAATTTTATAGATGCCTGACCTGGGTCCACCACTTAAATTGTGCTTTTGTTCCTGAGATCTTGACCACAGTAACCAATGATTTCTCTTCCCTTGGTATATGAGAAACAGAGAATGAGGAGGAGAAACCCAAATCCTCTTACCTTCTCATGCCCAGGTTCACACCCTCTGCAGCAGTTACTGCTTACTGCATTGGCAGCCAGTTCCTTTAAACTGCAACTTGAGCCACTCAATTCATCAGCCACCCACAACCAGAGGTCAAGTACATTATCAGGGCACAAAGTAACGCCGGGTGCTCACGTCCAGAGACAGATGCTAATGCAAGTGGGCAGGCTTGGAAGACCTTATGACTCCCAGGGTTCTATCAGGAGGCAGACGACTGTAAAAGAGGAGGCCAGTGGTGCTTTCCTGTGTTCTAGAATCTTCCTGTGATCACCAGATGTTTTTAAAAAATTACTGGCAATTAGTTGTAGATCTGACTTACTTGTGATCCATAAATCAGGGAGGTTCCTTTCTACAAACTAGAATGGAAACACCTATTGAGCAACAGCAGAATGTGGATTTTATAAAGCAGAAACAAGGAAACAGAACAGTAGAAAGGGCCAGGGAGATAGCTCAGTGGAATAAGTGCTTGCCTAGCTAGCACAAGGTCCTGAGTTTGATCTCACAGTAGAGAAAAGCTGATTAATATCCTAGTCCACTAGTGGTGAAATGATGGCACATGTGCTGCAGCAGGCTGTTATGATAGAAAGCTCTAGAAGGTGTAACATCCCTGTTCCAGTCCATTTTCCATTGCTGTAACAGAATACCTGGAGACTGGAGAACCAAGAGAAGTCTTCTTAGCTCACAGTTTTGGAGACTGCAAGTCTGTGGTCAGTTGGCTGTATCTGATTGGCCTCTGGTGAGAGCATCCTGCTGTAGGCAGGGTGGAAAGCAGGCACACAGGTGACAGCACAAAGGAGACTGTGGAGACAGCCTTGCTTTCTCACAGCCCACGCTCACAGCAGTTCTTCTGGTACTAGGAGTACTCGCCTCTGCAAAACAGTACTCATCTCCTCATGTCACTCCGCCCCAGGATCCAGGGCTCACCCAAGCGTCCCTGCAGATAGGCTGCCTTGAAAAGCTAAGCCTCAGTGCACGTTCTGGTGGGACAACCATGCTGGAGCCACAGCAGTTAGTGTTTCTTGTGAGGGTTGAGCAGGAGGGCTTCCTTGCTATACTGCCACAGCCAGGCTGGCATGTTAGTCCATTTGTCATTGCTTTAATAGCAGCATACAGTTCTGGAGGTGCAAGAACATGGCTTCAGCTTCTACCCAGTTTCAGGAAGGCCTCATGAGGAGTGGCCTCATAGTGAAGTGAGTACAGGCAGAAGAGGTCATAGAAGGCAGGAAACCGCAAGAGGGCTGGAAGGGGTCAGCATTCCTCTTTAAGAACAGTTCAGCCTAGTAGGTACTTAGTGGCAATACCCTGAAAACTAAGTAATCCCTCCCCAGGGCAGGGCTCCATGGCCTCTAGGCTCCACCTTCTAATACCACTGCCCTGGGGCCCAGACTTCCACATATAAACCCTTGGGGAACACAAATTCTGTCTAAATTATATCAACTAGAATCTGCTGTTTTCTGTAAACACTGGTCTGTTTTGGGAATCTTTGGGTCACTTCACTGGTTAGCAAGCTCTGAGGTGGGATGGCTGGCAGAGGAGAACTGCTTATGCATTGAGGCTATGGGGCAGAGGAAGGCAGGAAGGAGGGGAAGGAGCCGGCTGGAATCTCCCTTCTGGTCACACCCGCTCCATCTCTTCAGAGCAGACCCTCTCCTACCAGCAGGCCTGCTGTAGCAAATGCCCTTAGAGGCCACTCCTTCCAGCAGCCACCCCTGTGGACCCATGAGGCTTTGCTGGGACATCTAGATAGAAGCCATAACAATGTCCTTAATGTTTCCATTTCATTATGTGGCATTTAGCAAGAATGACTCCATTCTGCTTTGGCCTGGTCTGTGGGGTCCTGGTGCAGAAACTCAGCCTGAAAGCACCCCTGTGCCCCCCAGTTGTGTTTAGCAAGAGTGAGAGAGTGGAGTCTGGAAGAGCCAAATCCTGAGTGAGCCGGAGGGGATGGGAGTGCTAGCTGCGCCGTCGCTGGACTTGGGCATCCTGGCCACTGGGTTGTTCCAAGTGTCCCACACTCTGTTCTTCGCCCTAAATTTCCTCACGGTGACTTTGCCTCCCTCTTGATGATCAGACTGGAGCCCTCCTGCATGCCATCCTCAGCCCCTTCTGCCCCCGCCCCCCCAGGCTCAACCCTGGTCACGGGCTGCGAGTCTTGCCTGGCGGTTTTCACATCGGAAACCTTTTCCTCACCAGTGCAGCATGTGCTGCTCTCACCAGGCACCAGTGAGCTCTTCTCCAAATCCGCCTGTAGCTCCTCAGTGCACCCTGCTCTTGTTCTTTCCCTTTCCAGTGCATCTGCCTGTCACAGCAAATCTTCCTTAGCACAGCCTTGCTCGTGCTATTCTGCTGCTAAAAATAAAACTGGATTTTGTAGGTCAGCACTGAGAAGCCGCTACCTTTGTACCTGAAATGGTTTCCCTTCACTTGGCCTGCTGTTCTGAAGTACTTGCTTGAGGACAAGCCAGTGGCCAAGTGTTGCTGCTCGCAAGGGTGTTTCCTACGTTTGGCTGACCCTTGGCCTCCGCGCCTTCTCGGGCTGCTGCCTCCGCTGCTCTTAGAAATTCTGCTTTCCAGATGCCTTTTAGGCTAACAGTGGTGCTGGCCACCTTGTGCTGGAGAACTCTGCATGCTCCTGGTGCTTCTGCTGCTTCACTTGATCGCTTCTTCCTAAATCCCAGTACACTAAGTTTTTCTTTGTCCCATTTATCTGTACTGCCATTATCCCCACCACTCTTCCCTCATAGGAATTGAGTACAAGAACTTACTCAATTAAATTACTTAGTTTTATGACCAGTTGTGGTGAAGAGTCCTGATGTGTAAATAGACAAAGCCCAAAAGAGGAGGAAGGCCAGATAGCTAGTGGATTAAAGCACCTGAGATGCCTGCCTTGGTGGCTCTGCGCCCAGGATGCACTGAGACTGAGCAGGTGGCATACGCCTGTAATCCCAACACTTGGGAAGCTGAAAACAGGAGGATCACTAGAGTCCAATCTGTGTAAAGAGCCCCTGTAGAAAAGAGGTTCCCAGGGCTCACTGGATGAGGGAGAGAAGGCTGCGCCTCCTAGGGAGAGGCAGCGCTTCACTCTTCCTCTACCCCAAAGTTACTCACGGCAACCAGCATTGCAGGCCTCTTTGTAACCATTGGTGGGCTTTGGGGTGGAGATGGAGAACAGAAGTGTGCAGGAAATTATTCTGTTTTCTCTTTCTAAATCTGGTGCCTTTTTAGACTTGCTTACAGTCACATTCTGAAATCGGAAGCACTCTACAGACTATAATCAGAGAGAAGAAGAATTCTGCACTAGGATATTGAATTGAGTGTTCTGTTTACTCTTAGCTCCTTACCTGTGGCTTCAGGGACTTGTTACCCTGAGGGCATCAATAAGAAGGGGATTAAAGATCTTTACAGAATTTTCTTAGGACGATTTTGGCTTCATCCCATGATTGGGGTCTAGAGTAGATTTTAAGGATCTTTAATTTGTAGCTAACCAAGCTTGTAACTATGAAGCTGACTTGGATGAAGGAAAACAGTTGAACAGTCTTTTGAAAAGATAGGATTGAAAATTATATTCTCTTTCATAGTTTATGGACTCTGGTGCTGGAAAGTTATAAAAAGAACAGTATCTGCTTGGCCTTTCAGCAGGCATCGTGCCAGCCCAACTACCAGCTGTGAATCGTAGGCTGCTGCTTTTGAACATAAGGGGTATTATGAATGTAGAACACTGATTGGAAAATTCAAAACAACTAGATTTTTAGTAAAACCTAGAGTGCAAGTAAAAGGTAAATGTCTTACAGTTTTAAGTGGGGTAACAGGCCTTTAGTAAAGAAACTTACCTCCTCAAAACTACTTTCTATAATACTTGATTCTAAGAAAAGACATGATTACAAAATGATAAGGGAAAAGCTGAAAACAATTTGCCTTTGCTTCTTTGTCACAAAGTGTTTGTTTTGTGATTGATGTCTGTGTTTCTCTGCTGTATATTTCCCCCAGGAAACTGTCAGTGTCCATAATTGACATTGACAAAATCAACAGAAGGTTCCTGGAGGCAGGTCTTTCGGTGACAGAATGAGTTGAGGATCTCAGTTCTTTGATGTGTGCTTTTCTCTTTTCTTCTTTGCTGCTGAAAGAGGAAATAACTGCATCTGTTCTGGATAATTTTAGTTAAAATCTTAAAATCTATTACCTAGCATTTATCAGTGGAGGGAAAATTGCATTAAGTATTTTTATAAAATTATATGAGATGATTCATACTTACATTAAAATGTATTCTGTTTTCTTACAATATTTTAATAATTTCAGTTTTGGCTAATTTTAGTCACTTATCGGTAATATAAATGAGAATAAATGCCTTTGGCTAATTGTGTTGGTAATTTAATAAAGAATAGTTGGTATGTCAGTATTCAAAACCACCACTTTGGGCATTTTGAAGTACATACATTTTTGTTGTAACCTAATAGCAGTTTGTACTGGGAATATATTATTTGAAATTTTCATTTTCTCTTCTTTTTTTTTTTCCCCTCCCTTACAGGAAGGAGCTTGAAGCCTTCAAAGGTAATTTTGTATTTAATTTTTCACTTTAAAGTTGTTGAGAGTTAATTGATGTCAGATGTTCTTTCTTGATGATGAAAAATCATTCTTTTTTAAAAAATGGAGCAGTTTGTATCAAAAGGTAGAAGTTTGTTTAGTACTACTTTTGTAGGTTTTATTTACCATGAGTGTTTTTGATACTTTTATTTTTTTTTCTGTTATGAGTTTACTTTTTCATTTTACTTATTGACAAAAAAAAAAAAAAAATCCTTATTTGGGGGACCAGCCCTAGCTCAGTTCTTTAAGTGGCTGCTTCCACAATGCTGGCAGCCTCAGTTTGCTGTAGTTCGATCCCCACAACACTCCAGCCATGCCAAAGTGATCTGAAGGCATTCAAGGAACAAAAAAAAAAAAAAATTCCTCATTTTACTTATTGATATTTTATGCAAAAGTAAAATGAAATTTCAAAATCATATAGAATAACAATCTTTATTACACTGAATATCATTATCTTCAAACTAATTAGAGACTCTATTTTAAATGACACAAAGAGAAGAGTTTCTGCAATGACCATCATAAGTAGTATGTGAGGAAGGCCTGATGCTAGCTCTGAGGTTGTTGACGGTCAGTTGGAGAAGACTGCACTTTCTCTTGAGCTGGAGAGGGATGGTGATAAAGGTCAGCTTGTACCCTACTGGCTCCTGTTCTGACACTTCTCGGGTCTTTGGTTTATGTATGTGCGTGTTTTGTTCTGTTTGTTTGTTTTTTTGAGACAGGGTCTTGCTGTATAGTCCTGGTTGGTCTTGAACTCACTATGTAGCCCAGATTGGCCTTAAACTCAGTGATTCTCCTACCTCATCCTCCCGATTGCTGGAATCACAGGCCTGTGCCAACATACCCAGCCTATGTTGTGACTTTGATGAGTGTTTTTATCTTTTCCGTCTCATTTTCTCCATCTGTAACAGTGGGGAATCTAATTAAATATATTCTTAAATTTGAATGTATTTTAATTTAATTACTGGAGGGTAATTTTTTATCATGTGGTCCTTATTGATCTTGAAGAAACACTAGTAAAATATAGAAAAACCACAAACTTTCCAGCAGATTGAGACATCTCCAGTTTGCTGTTTTCTAATAGTTCATTAGCAATTAAGTAGTAAAAGTGTTGGTCTTGGATTTGTTCTAACAACTGAGAATACTTTAAATTGATTATTAAATCACTCATGATTTGTTTCATGATTATTGTATTTCATATAAACTAGCACTGACCTGTAGAGTTACTGAATGATTAAAGATTTTCCATTATATCATTTTGTCTTAGTTTCTTCTTGCTGTAAGAAAATACCCTACACCCAAAGTTAAAGGCGGAAAGGTTTATTTAGCTTCTAGTTTGTAGTGGCTTTAGTCCGTAATCATGAGGCACCAAGGGAGGGTGGATGACAGAGGGGCAAGGCAGAGGAGAAACAGTTCATGGCAGGCAGAAGGCAGCAAAGCAGGAAGATAAAGGAAGACCACAGCTCCGTCTGTCCTTGTATCTTATCCAGGCTGCTTAGGGCAGCAGCACTCACACTCTCAGACCTGGTGCCCTTCATCTTAGCACTGCACCAGGAGTCAGTGCCCCACCTGTGACCTTAGGAGGCTCGGGGAGGGATAGATAGATACAAGCCACACCACATTTCTAGTTGAATAGTCCATGTGGTTGATCTGTTTGTGTGTTTTAGAGAAGAATAATTACTCTTCAGGATGCAAGATATAAAGGGCTCTTCCAGTGATGGGTAGAATTGATCACACTTGTTTCAGCTATATTTCACTTTCACTCACTGCAGCCATAGTAAATGGTTAAGCTCAGGACTAGTTTGTTATGTTAAATGATCATATGATATTAAGCTTGAATCAGTATTCATGGACATTATTTTTCATCGCTGGTTTAAGATTTGAAATCCTTATAAAATGCTCTTTTTCCTCTTGTTCTTTCTTTTAGTTGACTAGCATTTTACAGTGAGAGACAGATAAAAGAAATCAAATTAATATTAAAAGACAGGCAGGGGCACACATTATGTAAAATGTCAGCTTTACGTGCACCTCAGTGCTGAGGGATGCTTTTTTTAGTATAATGATATTCACAAAAGAGACTACCATAGAACAATTCAATTTAGGCTGAAATATATTGTTTATATACACATCCATAATTATGTACAGCATTTAACAGCACATCAGATCTACCCACAAGCTAGTGTAAGCTCTCTAATTTGAGCAAAATGTAAATTCATTTGTCAGGCATGGTGGCACACCTGTGATCCCAGCATCCAGGAGGCTGAGGCAGGAGGATTGCCATAAATTTGAGGCCAGCCTCAGCTGCATAGTGAGTTCAAAGCCAGCCTGTAACCTTGTTTCAGAAAAACCATAATTGAATATTGTGTCCTACATTGCCAATTAAACAGAAGACCCAATGCTATTATGGGCTTCTGTACTCTTTTAGAATATTTCGCTGAGTTTACACACCTATAATATTCAACAACGGAACTTAAAAAAAAATGGGGTATAACTATGAATGTCCATTTTGTATCTGTGTATTCAAAGTGGTTGGGATAGATATATAGTTGCATTCTCTTAATGAATAGAATGATTTTTTCTAATGGTGTTTGTAAGTAGGATCACAAGTCTGCATCTTGTACAGCAATTAACCACTAAGAAGAATATATGCAGTGTATTATTTGTTGAAAAAAAATGTATAAATGCACGAATTGTGATATTGCAGAAACACAGATATGTGAATGATCAATAAAGTTTGCAATGTAACCTGAAAAAAAAAAAAAAAAAAAAAGAATATTGTGTCATACCAGAATTTTGGTATCAGTATTTATTAAAAGCTGTTTCTTCCTAACTCTTGGCACAGTGGCATGTGCCTTAATCTCAGCTACGTGGAAATTGAGGCAGGAAGATCACTTGAGCCCAGGAGTTCAGTGCCAGCATAGGCAATGTGGCAAGACTATGTCTCTTTTGAGAGACATAGATGTCTGCGCTCAAGTATTTTCTAATATTTCAAAGCATAAAATTATTTTGTAAGAACAAAATTATAAGTTTAATCACTCTTGCAAAGTATTAATAGAGAAAAAAAATTAAAAATTCATTCAGGGCCCCACCTCAGGGGCACACTGAGACTGCCATGGAGGCTGGGTGTGGTGGCGCGTGCACATAATCCCAGCACTTGGGAGACTGTAAACAGGCAGATCACTACAAGTCCGATCTAGCAGTGAGGCTCTGAACACCCTGTAGACCCTTCTCTAAAATACAAAAAAAAAATTAAAAATTCATTCAGGGATACATAACAATTTTTTGTTGTTGCAGTACTGGGGATTGAAATCAAAGTCTTCATACTGAGTACATACTGAGTTCATTTTTTATTTTTGAGACACAGGAATTGATTTGACTGATTGGCTGATTGACTGACTGACTGATTGATTGATTAATTGAGAGACACAAGATCTCACTATGTAGTTCTGGCTGGCTATGAATTCACTATAAAGCCCAGGCTATCCTTGGCCTTCCAGTGATCCTCGTGCTTCAGCCTCTTGAGTTCTGGGGTTACAAGTCTGTGATTCCATGCCTGACCTTACAGTTTTCTCATTTTTTGAACATTGCCTTTGTTTCCCTTTGTATTTAGCACCTTTTCTATCCTGGGAAAGAACTTCCTTTGGGGGACCAAAACACAAAACCAGAAACCCTGAACCTTACTTACTGATATAGGTCAGTATCATCCATGAAGTCATCCATGAAGTCCTGGATTCTCTTTTCCGTATTCCACTAAATCAGTTAGGTTTGCCTTTCCCTTCTGCTACGTAAGGCAGATCTCTACCACAGTATTAAAAGCAGTTGTTTTAATGTTGGTAGCATGAAGATTTTTAGTGTTCCTCAGGAACACATTCTTTATACATTTTAGTAATGGTCACTTTAATAGTAGGCAATAGAACAAATAGGATCTTTTTTTTTTTTTTTTAATTTTTTTTAATTATTTATTTATGTGTGTGTGTGTGTGTGGCCAGCTCAGCCCACCAGGGGGCGGGGCTGGCTGGCATGTGGTGCTGGGGGATTGAACCGCGGTCCCCGTGCTTTGCTAAGCTTGTTCTAAGTAGGTGCTTTAGACCACTGAGCCATCTCACCAGCCCCACAAATAGGATCTTAAAAGTCTTAATTTTATGTTTTTACTGGAGAAGGAATCGCATTGTAAGTACATGTAGAGGAAGGGTTTTCCCCTTAAAGTCCTTAAAGATAAGGAATGTCAGCCTGTGTAAACATGCCTGTCATTCAGGGATTATAAATCGTTTTTCTGCTCTAATTTTTAAAATACATTATCATCCCATATATACATCTTAAAATTTTTCATACAATTTTAAAGATGAAAGTCTAGAAATACCATGTCGCTAGGAGGATAGCGGTAAGATCTAGGATTGGGTTTTATTCTTAACCTCCATAAAATTCATGATGGAATGCAGCTTTGATGCATTTGCTTCTTCACAAGTGCCTTCATCTAAGTATCTTTCTTTTCTTTCTTTCTTTTTTTTTTTTTTTCGGAACCAGTGATTGAACTCAGGCTCTTGTGCTTGGCAAGCGCTTATTCTACTGAGCCATCTCCCCAGCCCCTCATCTAAGTATCTGGCCAAATTAGTCTCCATTCTGACACACATGGCAAGCTGAATGCTTGTGTCTGAAAGGCTACTGGCCAGTATTCCCAGGTTCTGGTTTCTGTCAGTTGAACGCTTACCCAGAGAACACGGTGTTGACTCACAAAAGCATTTATTATAAAATGCAAAATAATCAGATCTTTCATTAGAACTATAATAAAGTTGAGGGCTTTAGAAGACTGTATAGAAAAATAGCTTTTTAAATTTGCCGCTGAGGTATAGTTGAGAATTAGAAAAGATTTGGGAAAAATAATTTTTAAAATCTTGAAAGATTCTGTATGTGTATTGTCATATTCCCTACATTTCTGCTCTATTTTTAAAAAGACTGAAAATTTTCACTCA